GTAGATTACTTTTGGCAAGATTGCCATTTTTATTATGTTGATTCTACCTATCCAAGAGCATGGGAGATCTTTCCATTTTCTGGTATCATCTTTAAAGACTCAAAGTTCTTACTGTACAGTTCTTACTATCTTTCACTTTTTTGGTTAGTTTTACCCCAAGATATTTTATGCTGCTTGTGGATATTGTGAAGGGTGATGTTTCTCTGATTTCTTTCTCATTGCATTTCTCATCTGTATATAGTTTTTGAGTTAATTTTGTATCCTGCTACTTTGCTGAAGGTGTTTATCAGGTCTAGGAGTTCCCTGGTAGAGTTTTTCAGGTCACTTATGTAGACTATCATATCATCTGCAAATAGTGAAAGTTTGACTTCTTCCTTTCCAATTTGTATCCCTTTGATCTCCTTTTCTTGTCTTATTGCTTTAGCTAGAACTTCAAGTACAACATAGAAGAGATATGGAGAGAGTGTTCAGCCTTGTCTTGTTCCTGATTTTGGAGGAATCGCTTTGAGTTTCTCTCCATTTAGTTTGATGTTGGCTGTTGGTTTGGTGTATATTGCTTTTATTATGTTTAGATATGTTCCTGTTATTCCTGTTCTCTCCAAGATCTTTATCATGAAGAGATGTTGTCAAAGGTTTTTTCAACATCTAGAGTTTGTTTATATGGTGGATTACATTGATGGATTTTTGTATGTTGAACCATCCTTACATCCCTGGATGAAGCCTATTTGATCATAGTGGATGATTTTTCTGATGTGTTCTTGGATTCAATTCGCCAGTATTTTGTTGAATATTTTTGCATCGATGTTCATGAGGGACCTTCTGGCTTTCAAAGTTTCCATTGAGAAGTCAGGTGTGATTCTGATAGGTCTCCCTTTATATGTTACTTGGCCTTTTTCCTTTGATGCTCTTAATATTTTCTCTTCATTCTGTAGGTTTGATGTTTTGATTATTATGTGTTGAGGGGAATTCTTTTTGTGGTCCTGTCTGTTTGGTGTTCTGTAAGCTTCTTGTTCTTTCATAGGCATATCCTTCAGTAGGTTGGGGAAGTTTACTTCTATGATTTTGTTGAATATGTTTTCTGTACCTTTGAGCTGTATATCTTCATCTTCTTCTATACCTATTATTCTTAGGTTCGGTCTTTTCACGATGACTATATTTCCTGGATATTTTGTGTTAGGGATTTGTTGGACTTGTGATTTTC